CCGCTCGCCGCCGCCGCCGTCCCCGCGCGGTACCCACCTCTGCGCCGCCGTGTTGGCGTCCAGCACCCCGGCGCCCTGCATCCACGTCCGCACCGCGTTCATGCCGCTGCCCAGCGGCTCTTCCTTCATGCTGCTGCCACTCCGTTGGATGCTTTCCTGAATCCCAAACATGAAAACAACCTTTTCTTGCGGAAAATCTCCTCCCCCTTGAAATAGTGAAAAAAAAAAAAAAGAAAAACGCCAGCCAGAGATTTTTTTTTTTTTTTTGAGACGATGAACTCTCACTAGAAGATCAAGACAAGCTGGGGAACAAATTTTTTTTAAATTGTAAACCTTTGCTCAAAACCGAGCGATACGCTCACCAAAAAAATTTTTCAAAAGAAGAAAAATCCAACGAAAAGACCAAAAATTTTTTTAAAAAACTAGAGATGTATGCTTGGCTGTTGGGGGTTGTTTGGTTGGTTGATTTTTGGTTTGGGTGCTTTTTTTTTTTTTTTTGTAATGATCACAGGCCGGTGGACAGGAGGGGCTGGAGTTTCCTTTTGTAGAGGTACCCTTCACTTGAAGCAGGAAGAAAAAAAAAAAAGCCCTGATGGCAATTTAAGAAACAATAGACTCAACTCGCGCTGCCGGCTTTGCTACTTCAAGTGTCATTTTCCACAACCAGGCAAGTTTTTTCCTCTCTCTCTCTCTCTTTTTTTTTTCTCCTCTCCCAACCAAAGATGTTTCTTTCCTTTCAGTGCGTGTAGATGAGGAGGACGCTGGTTGCCGTAGACAGATACACCAGAGAGGGAGAGTGGGGTAGGGGGAGGGGGGAGAGAGGGAAAGAGAAAGGGGGGAGGGAAAGACAGAGAGAAAGAAAGAGAGGAGAGGGAGAAAGAGAGAGGGGTGGACCCTGCGGGATGGAGATTCTGTTTTCTCCTTGCTAAAATAGAAGTGATTTGCAGGCTTTCCCTATGGAATCCAGTTTGACTCTCCCCAGAGCTAAACACAGGCACACTAACCCCAAAGGGAGGAGGCGGGACCTGCGCCTCGCCGCCCCGCCCCTTCATTTGCATAACGTCATCCTTCCGCCTTGCCATAGCCAATCGCAGCTCAGGAGCTTCCAGGCTTGCTGCGCGGGGCCACGCTCCCTCATTAACATCCCTCGCCGGGTGGCGCAGGAGAGCTGGCCAAAGTTCCTCGTAAAGTGGCGAGCGAGGGAACGGGGAGAGCACCGCTGCTGGGCTGGGGAGGAGTGGGACCGAGCGGGACTGAAGAGAGGGCAAGGGCAAGGGAGTGAGATTATCCTTCCCAGGGATTTGAGCTGAGATGTGCATCCTGACCACTGCGACCCCCTAGCATCCTCGCCTCCCCCACAGGGCGCGTTTGAGGCGCACAGGCTGCGCCCCTCCCAGGGCAGATGCCGCGCGTCCTGCTCCGCTTTTCTGGGACGACGGGGGCAAAGTGGCTGAGACGGGAGAGTCCGGGCAGAAAATGACAGGACGCACGGCTCAGGTGCCCACCTCTTCGCTTTGAGGCTTTAGTGGTGGGGTGGGATGTGGGTGCTCGTGATCTGGGTAGCAGCACAGGGAGCGTGCGGGAAGCACCGCCTCCACGCAGGGAGGGGAGGGTGGATCCAGAGCCTAGGCAAGCGGGGCGCCGTTGGTCCCCTGGGAACAGGGACGCGGGCGCTGCCCCTAACCTGGACTCTGGTTAGCTTCTTGGGAGACCGGGCCTCTGGCCTCGAGGCTGCTGGCATTAGGCACTCTCACCAAAATTGGACAGTCACGGGGATGTGGAATGATGGAGTGAATGTTTCTCGCTGGAGCTGTGTCTCGGTGCGTTTAGAATTATACCCAACTTAAATCCTCAAACTTCTCACTTCTGCCCTAATGTAGTTTAGTACTCTGATATTTTTGTTTGTTTTATTTAGCGACTGTCCGAGTCAATTACTTGTAGGATTTCTCCCCTTAATTCATTCTCTTAAAACGAAGATTGAGCTTAAACCTTACCCAACCTCTGTCCCGTCCTAAAGTGAAAGATAGGTAGAAATAGAAAATGATGGACAGAAGGAGAATGAAACAGAGAAATAAATATCCCACTTCGGGCATTCTGAATGACTGCTCATATCTGGCAAAGGCAATAACTGGATGTTTCTGGGTAATGTGCCCCACCGTTGTTCAGCAGGTTGTAAGCACATGGTGAACTTCTTTTCATTGCCCTCAGAGGAGCTCCTGACTGCCGCCAAATCTGCAAAGGAGTCCTTGGGGGAAATTCTCTGCCAGAAATCCAGGTCCCTTTCTGCTTGCCTTCCTTGACCCTTTGATTTAGGAAGATCATGAGGTCAGTGACAAAAAAGTGCACATACCCACGTTGAATGGAGACAAGCAAGAGTTATGCTTTGTGCTCTTGGCAGAGCAGTAAAGTCAAAGCCACTTCCTGGTTCCTAAACTGGGTGAAAGAATGCCAGGCCTGTAGGTGTAGGGCCACTGTCCTCAGTCTCTGCTTTATCTTTCCTGCATAGGACCTGCCCTACCCTCATACCATTTAATCTGGGCCATTTATATGCTGAGCACCTTCTCCTTAGTACCATAATGAATGCCATTTCCTCTCATACACTTGGGGGGGAGGGTGTGTGGAGGGAAGGCCAGGCATTCTATCAGTATCTTCACAGCATCTATCATCTATCAGAGTTCTTGGCACATAGTGTTCTGGAGGAGTATGATGTCTGGAATGGTTGTAGGGTTAGGGGAACTGGAAGAGCTGGATCTTCTCTGTCTCTTTAGAATTCTAAAGCACAATTGAAATTTGACATCTGTGAAGCTGTCACCAAAAGGTCCCTTATTCTGCCTGAGCCATGCTCCAAGATTTTTGATCTTGCCGTACTTTAAGGTAGGGAGGCCAGGAGGCAGTGGTTACCCATGAGTCCCAGAAAGCCCTGGTTTAAAACCCAGACCTGCCTTTCCTTAACCACCTGCACTTCCATTTTACTTTTCAGTAAAGGGTCTGCTGTGTCCAAGTTGAGATGGTGGGGACAGAACCTTGTGAGAGTAAACACATGGGATCAGGTCACTGCCAAAGAGAGGTAGCAAAGAGGGCAGAATGAGGAACACAGCCCGAGGACCATAACAAGTGAGATGCACAGATTCCTGCAGGTTATGCAGACTCCAGAAGCTTTCTGCAAAAAGACATATTTGTTGGAGACCCTCATGCCTTTTGAACAAATGAAACAGTGACCCCGAATTAAAAGCCTTCACCAGCCCAATTCCTGCTCTGAAACCAGGAACTGAATAAGATAATGTCCATACCTGTCAGGCCAAAGAGGCAGGGAAAATAAAAGGGGGCAGGAATCTTTTGATTCGTCTAATTCCTTTTGACTGTATGGAGGTAGCAGCTCACTCACCGACATGGTGAGTATACTCTATGTGTATCAAGCAGTGTGTATGCACAGCTTGCTTCTGGGTGTCCTTGTGCTTCCAATCTGACTTTCTCGCCCTGTAATAAATGTTTAAGTAGGAAGGAGACTAAAGTTAAAATGAAAAGGAGACTGAGAGAGAGTGACAGAAAACTGGGAGTGACACCTCGGCCAGCAGAACGGTTAGCTTTCTGTAGATTACTTCTAGTGAATATTAAACAAGCAATTGCAATTTTAAACTTTGACAAAGAATCCCTCAAACCTGCTTTAATCTTCCCCTCCTGTGAGTTGAGCACCACCTCCAAAAGACAAAGCATGCCTGTGGCAGGGGGATTTTATAAAGTAGGTACTGAGACTGGCTTGTTACCTTTTTTACTTGATAGTCACATCTCCTATGAATAGATATTTTTGTGTGTGTATAGAATTGTTTAGCTTTTATAAGCACAAACTGTTCTCTTTCAAGGGTACCTTAAAGCAGTGATCCCCAAATCTGGCTCACCATCCTAATCACGTGGGTTTGAGGGGGGCAGTGCTTTTTAGAAATGCTTATTTCCAGATCTGCAAAAAATCGTCATCTTTACTGTTGATACCTGGGAATCTGCATTTAAACGTATTAGGAAACCGTCTGAGAGGAGAGGAGGAGAAGACGTAGGGAAGGAGAGGGAGGGAGGGCGAAGGGAAAAAAGAGCCTGGATTTAGGGAAACATACAGCCGAAAGAGTTCATATGTAGGAGCCTTAGAAAGATTTGATGTTTTCCTGAGGCCATCTCGCACTGAGAGTCTCCTAGTTTCAGTAGCATCTACATCCCTCAACTGACAGGACTCCCATCCTTCAGAGTCAGCACTGAAAGTTGAGTCTCAGAAATCCCCCACCCCAGGCTGTGCCCACACTCCTAAAGAGGCACAAAGAAAGGAACACCACTAATGGTTGCCACTTTAAGGACCTTAAGAGTCAATCAGCCGTGCGCGCGCGCGCGCTCGCACATCCTCTCCCCACCCCCCACCCCCCGCAATGAGAAAAGATGAAATAAAGTCAGCTGAACTAGGACATTCGGGGACGTCTTGGGGAACGAGGGAATCTTCTCTGCTCGTCTGCCCCCAGGAGGCCAGACTTGGGACCCGTCCCTTAGAAAATTCCCTGAATCTCTGTTGAGGCTGCGACCCCAAAAGGGTCGCCTGTCCGAGAAAACACCCTGTTTTATTTTGTGCACGCAAGATACAGCTGAGCAAGTGAGAGACCAGACTCCACTTGGCAGCTCTTAAGGCAACGAAACCCCAAAACGCAGAGTCGACCCCCCCCCTTCGAGGGCCCGCTCCAGAGGCGCAGGCTGGAGGCTGGGAGCCTGGGCTGAGGTCAAGGCGCTGCCTGCCGGAGGAGAGGCCTCTGAATGGTTTGCAGCCTGGGGCCCTGGCAAGAAGGAGGACCTGCTTTGTTGCTGCGTTTGAGCGCCTCCCAGACAAGGGTGGAAGCGACTGGAAAAAACTCGGGCCGCGCGCTCGCAAAGTCTCGCCTTTTCCTCTCCAGGACTTCCACCCGCTTCCTAACGGGAACGCGTGGGAGCAGCAGGCCCGCGTCCCACCGGAAATCCGGACTCCGATCCCGAACCCTCCCGAGACGTACCCCAACCCCTTTGCTCGCGGCATCTGCATGAACTTCCAGCCCCGGGGGCGCGCCCCCAACTACTCCATCTAATGCAGGCAGGGAAGATGGAGAAGCGAAGACACCCTAAGACCAGTAGGAAGTAGAAACTAGAT